CACGTTCTAAGAATGTTCTAGAATATGTCCCATACGTCCCATACAGCACATGATATTCGGAGAACGTTCTAAGAATGTTCTAGAATATTCTAGAACATTCTTAGAACGTTCCCCGAATATCATGTGCTGTATGGGGTCACTGAGCTTACACAGCCTTTACGTGTACATTACATGCATATAATGTAATACATCAAGAGAATACTCTTTTTATTATTTTTATATTCTTTATTTATTAACCTGTATGATTTTTATGTATGTTACGAATATATTTAAAATTAAATTATATATGTCCTGTTTAGCAAAAGTGTGTTCGCTGCATTTTTCTGAGGACTCATTCGCAGTACCAAAGAAAAAATCAAAAGTTCCCGATTGCAAGAAAAGACAGCGCCTTTTACCGACTGCTATACCGACTTTATTTTTAACGTCAACAGAAAAGAGGTATAATTTTTATTCACAATCATAATAAATGTAATATCAAAAGTACGTGATAAATAATACCATACACTTTTGTACACGTTTCAGAGCTGATAATCCAGTAAACTTGGATTTAAATATCATTCGTCAAGAATTTCCACTTGTCTGCAATCCAGGCACAAGCAGGGTTATAGCCGATGAGCGTGAAAAAACCAACAGTGGAACTGACGCATTGAATGAATTATGCGATACAAATGAAAATCTTGATGGTCCGAATGAAACTGATGGCATTACAGCAACACCAAAAAGGCATTCTCGAAGGTAAAATAAAAAATGATTTATATACTATCAATGTTATTTGTGAATTTCCATAAAGTATGACGTCATTTTTTGACTGGTCATATATAATGTAAAATTCTCATATGTCATTTCTTCAATCACATGGTTTAATTAATTATCAATGTTACATTGTTTTATATCTGTCTATAGTAATCCGTGGTTGAACAAACGGTATCGAGTTATTCGTTCACCACCAAGTGCATTACATACACTCGAGAATGAATGCAATTTTACGTTTCCTAGAAGGTAGGCTATGCACAGGAGTGCATTCATCAATTACTAAAATCTTAGCATTACAATAAGTATAACTATTATTGTATTTTTTCAGATCATTGAGATTTCAACCGTATGCATACAATGTCAGAGCAAGCGCATTAAGAAAGCGCAAACAACGTGGCAAGGCGCATTCAAAAAGAAGCGCTGAAGTTACTCCAGAAGGAGCAATAATATGCAGCGACGAAAATACCCCTTTGTCGACACGTAGACAACGGTACTTGTTTTTTTTTACATTTACATTTTAATTTTTTCGTCTTAATTCTTCTACGGTGTATCTAATATCCACTCAGAAAATATTAATATACTTCTATTAATATACTTATATTAATATGCTTTTAACGTTTGACATTAAATAATCAGAAATTAAATTAACTTTTTAAAAATTATTTTCACATAAATTGAATTCGTTTCCGATTATAACTTAATCTATTCAGTATAAATTACTCAATTCGGCAATATATCCCTATTGCGGGGTTTTTTAATACACTGTGTATATTGCTTTATCTTAAATACCATTAATTATATGACAATGTTTTTCCAGCTTTTTCATGGACAACTGTGATGAAAGCGTCATTACCAGTGCCTCAAAGCCGACCGAAATGGACAAGTTACGAGCAGAAGTGACGTTACTTAAGGCAGAAGTGCATCATTATCGGTCACTGCACGCATTTCACATGCAATCAAATTGCACAGATTTGGCAATGCAAACACCAGTAGAAGCAGAAAACGAGGCATTGAAGTAACAATTGCAAGAGAAAGAGGAACAAGTAAAGAAGATTTCTGCCGAAAAGGAAGAAATGTTAAAATTAATTAACGATCTTCAAGCACAATTGGCGAGCATTACTGCAATCGAAAAAGCCCCTCAAGAATACGTTAGAACGCTATTAAAACCCTACTTCACAGAAGGGCAAATACAGTGCATTTTGACGCAGAAAAAATGGATTCAGTGGTCCATCGATGACTATGCTTCAGCCATTTCGTTACGGAGCGTAAGTCCGAAAGCT